AGCCAGCTAGGCTGGCTGGGGAATTCTGGGAGTTGAAGTCCACCCATCTTCAAGCTGCCAAGGTTGAGAAACTCTGCCCTAAAGTTATATATGGCAAGATATTTTCCCCCCGTTTCCCTTTCCTTCCTTCTGCGGCGCAGCATTTCCAAATGCAAGCCCTGGGCGGAGATCTGCCCTTTTCGTCTGCTCCTCTCAAACATGATTTGCTCTTTAATAAGGCGCACGATTGTTGCTGTTGCGCAACAACGGCAGAATGTCGGTTTGTTTCACGGAAGTGCTGGTAAACGGGGACTTCATAATCCAGATTTGTCTGGCAGTCGGTCAGTCGGTCGTCTTAATGCCGCCCCAATGGAGCATAAAAAGCGCCCGAAGGTCTCCCTGTAATCCAGCAACGGAGATCTCCCTGCAGAGTCACCGACCAGCAGAACGTCAGATAGACTGCCCCTGACGTGGAGGCTCCATCAACCTATTAAGACTCTTGCTCGGCTTTGAAAGGCAAGATTTATTTGGAACAATGCTCTTTCTCTGTTTGTTGCAAGGCCCTCAGTTCGGTGTTGCTGTTGCTGTTTTTTCTTCTTTCCTGGGCAAGATCTGCTGTTTCAAATCACGTTATGCAGCGTTTTGCTTTGTCCACAGGATGGCAGGCCGATCCTGAACATGCAGAAAGGGAAAGCCGGGAAGCATTTAGAGGTGATGCAGAGAACAAGTCGGGGAAGAGGCGGGAAGCGACGAGTTCTGGGCTGCAGTACTCCAGACGAATCCCTAGGGGGCAGCAGGAGGTTTTGCTTGCTGCCCCCTAGGGATGCCGGAGAGTGTTGCAGCCCGTTTCTGATGCCCCCTTCTTCCCATTTGTGGAAGCAGATGGGGAATGTACGGAAAGTGGACAGTCTGCCCGGCTCGTGGGCTTCCCCACACAAAGTTAGACGTGGAAATCTGCCTTGAAATCAGTTTGCATCGCATCGTAGCCCATCCGGGAAAAGCTTGGCCCCTTCCCGTTCGCTTTTGGTGGAAAGCGGCCCGGGAAACGGCTCACGGCCCTCTCTCGTGCTGCCGAGAGATCGCCACCCTCTCGGGAGGCCACGGCAGGTCAAACCTGTTTGGTGGGGTGAAGCTGGGCAGGCCGTGGGAGCAGCTGCGCACCCTGGTATTGTGAGGCACCGCGTACGGGGGGGGCTTAATTGGCCCACCGCCTTGCTGCTCCCAGCATCTCCAGGGTTCGTTTTGCATGCTACGTTCGCGCCGTTAACAAGGTGTTTGAGTTGCAGCAAACACATGGCTAATTAGGAAAGGGCAGCTCTGCGCCAGGCTGGCGAGGAGGGGAAGTCGGATCCAGGACCGCGGGCTGCTTCCCCTTGGCTCGGCAAAGGCAAATAATGGCCATTCAGCCCCCGGGGAGGCTCCGTTTATCTCCTCCTCGCCGACCTCTCCTGGTGCCTCCCCGCCATCGTTCTCCCTGAGGTGGGCTGGGTGGCGCTCAGGGACCCTGGGGCTCCGGGGCGAAGAAACGGGCGCTAAGGAGGAAAGAGAGAGATCCATTTCCGTTCTGTTCGTGGGGCGCGGCGTTCTTCTCTTTCCTTCCGATCAGCCGGGCCAGGCTGCTCCCCACCCCAAGAATTGCGTTTCAGTCGGAAAGAGAAGTGGAACAAATGCATGGCAGGAGTGGAAAATGGGCACGTGGGCAGCCAGCTGCAGGAACGAGCGGGCCCCGAACTGGCTGCCTTCGCACGTCAGATTAACCCACATCTGTTTGCTCCGGGCTTCGCATTGTGTAGGTTTGGTGGCTTAGAGCAGCCTTTCTCACCCTTGGCAACTTCAAGATGTGTGCATTCAACTCCCAGGTTTCCCCAACCAGCATGTGTGTGAACTCTCAGAATGCCCCAGCCAGCATGTGTGGACTTCAACTCCCAGAATGCCCTAATCAGCATGCTGGCTGGGGCATTCTGGGAGCTGAAGTCCACACCTCTTAAAGTTGCCAAGATTGAAAAACCCTGGCGTGGGGGCACCATGTGAACCCAGCCAATAAACCATGGTTCAGAAACCCTGGCTTAGAGCATCGTGTGAACCCAGCCAATAAACCATGGTTAAGCAATGATGTGGCAACCTAGTGCTGAACTGCTTCCTCTCCGATGCCAGGTTGGGGCTCCAGTTCCACCGCCTTTTCTTCCGGTTCCTCCTCAGGTGTCGCTCGGACGCGCTGCTTCTCTGCTGGAAGCTGGCAAAGGCTGCCCGCCGGGCACATCCGCAGCCTTTCCCCAGCGCCTGGCACCAAAACCGTGCCCTGCCTCGGGGAGCTTATGACCCTAGGGAGGAGCAGCAGGGGAGGGTGCAGAGCTAAGAAGCTGCTTCTCGGGAGCCGAACGTGGGGAAGTAGCAAGAGCGGCAATTCTGAGGAAGTTGGACAATCGAGCCTTTGAAAGTTGTGTTCGGTTGGGAAAGTTGTGAGCGCAAGCCGGGAAACAGACCCGTGAGGTCCACCGAGGGATCC